CCTTCCTTCCTTCCTTCCTCCCTCCCTCCCTCCCTCCGTCCCTCCCTCCCTCCCTCCCTCCTACTTCCTATCATGTCTAATGCTGTTCCTCCTGCTATTTTCCCCACTAACCCCCTCCATTAGAAAGATTGGACTGAGAGAGATTGACCAGCCCAAAGTTATCCCGCCAGCTTTCATGCCTAAGGCGAGACTGGTACTCACAATCTCCTAGTCTAACTAAAAAAGAAAGCTTATCTATACCTTAACAAAATTATTTTCTTTTGTTTAGAGTGTTCCTGACTAAGCGGGGGTGGGTGGGGGGAATCTCCTTTAAGCTGGTCATTAAAAAATAAGAGATCTATAAAATATATGGCCCTTTACTTATCTGGAATTTACTTCTGGGGAAAAAAAGAAGCCCTATGCTTTAAATTGGTAATTTGTAACTACCGTATTTTTAATGGCCCAGAAGTTGAAGAAGTAGGACTAAGTGATCCATCTAGAAATTCACATGTGTGCAGCTATGTAGAAAATGCAGGGATCCTTTGGGCTAAAAATTGAGGTCATAACATCCACTTAGAACAATGGGAACAAATATGGCAAACCCAGTATAAATTAATGTTCAGTATCATATAAAGAGAATATCTATAAAATGTTCTACCGCTGGCACCTTCTACCGGCAAGATTGGCAAAAATGTTTCCCAATATGTCACCCAAATGCTGGAAGTGCAATCATAGCCAGGGTACAAATTTTCACATGTGGACATGCCCCAAAGCTCGAAAATACTGGTCTAAGATATTGGGATGGTTGGAATAGATGACAAAATTAAAGATCAAACTCAATCCAGAGACCTTCTTATTGGGAATATCAGAACTGTCATGGAGTAAAAAACAACAGCATCTAATATTACACATCATCACAGCAGCAAGAATAGCCTTTGCCCAAAATTGGAAATTAACAATGGTATCCACAGATCTAGCAGTAATCAACAAAATTTACCAATGCGCAGAAATGATTAGATTAACTATGATATTAAAAAATAAGGAAGAGGTAGAATTTTTTACAACATGGAATACATGGTACAAATGGTTAAACAAAAAGGAAATAAAGATGTGAAAATGATTGAAGAAATATTATGGAACAACAGAAATAAGGATAAATGTATAGCTGTGAATATATGTATAGCATAGCTATGTATATAGGTTTAGTAGTGTAGTAACACAATGTATCACGACGTACTAATAACATAGATAAGTAAGAAATTAGGAATTAGATTTAAGATTTGTAGTAAATGATTTCAGTTAACACTAATAGAGATGTACACTGTTATGAGGACACTGTGAAGTGTGAGAACGTGATTCTCTTTTAAAATATTTTTTTCTTGAATAAAAACTTATTAAAGAAAAGAAAATGCAGGGATCCTTGATCTTAGCTGGGGTTGTGGAGAGAAGGCAGAAGAATGCAAGGAAGAGTTTCCTTTCTTGTTCTTTCAGAATTTGAATTTAGGCAAACTTGTTTGGTTGAGGGAGGGATGGTCACTGTAATAGATTTGTTGGATTTGGGCTGGAGGGGAATTGATTGGAACAGATTCCTTTCAACATGATCTGTTTCAGTCCATTCACTCTAACCTTAATCTCCTACTGTTTTCTTGGGCTACACATCTGTCTTTCCTGAACTTGGAAGATTAAACTGCGTACTTTGAAGCCCTGGTTAAACTCGGTTGGACTGCGATTTCTACAATCCTAGTCTGTACATCAAATGGATGGGATTTCTGAGATATGCTCTTGAAAATCCTGGAGAGGCTGATACAGCCCTCCCATGCCTGATGATGCCCTTTATGTAGAACAGTGTTTCTCAAGTTTGCCACCTGAAATGTGTGGACTTCAACTCCCAGAATGCTGCCTGGAGAATTCAGGAGAATTCTGCAAGGTTGAGAAACACAGCCAGCTCTCTGGGTTTGACTTAACACTCCCTTTCTGCCTTTCCTTCTGCAGGAACTGAAGGCTTTGCTGGCCCGGTACACTGCCAGCTCCTCCTCTCAGCAGTCCAGCAGTGCCCGCTCTTGCTTTCCCGGCTGCCTCTCCTCCAGCCAGGGTCAGCACAAGTACCATTTTGAGAGAGCCTTTCTGGTCTCCCAGGTGGGCAGCTGCCGGGTGATGGCCTACTGTGACCCCCTGAGCTGCCTCGTGGTCTCGCAGCCCTCTCCGCAAAGCACTCTCCTTCCTGGTGAGTCAGTAACCAAACCTAGGTCTGGGGGCTAGAAAGAGAGGCGGGGGTGCCTGGTGGCTGCCTCGATCAAATGAAGGATCTTCACGAGGAACCGCTAAGCCGCCTGATCAAAAAGTAAACGTGCTCCAAAACAGGATGAGAAGTGGCTGCGGCGCTTGAAGAAACAGTGCCTGGGTCCGCGACACCTCAGGGTCGCGACGGCTGCCCTCATGCAGGAAGAAAATTCCCTTTGGCTGAAATGAGGCTGGCAGCAAGCTGTGGCTACAGGGAAGACGGCGAACGAAGGGAAAAAAAACATAGAAAAAAGCCTCCGTAGTGCTTTGAAGCATTACGAAGCAAACCTGACAGTACAAGAAGTCAATTTTGAACAAGTAGCGTTTCTATCCAGAGAACTATGAGCCAATCTTTTGCCACAACCTCTTAGGGCAAGAGGTTGTGAGTCGTGAACTGGGGAAAGTGACAGTTGACAAGGGGCGTGGCAAAAGATTAAGGACTCAGTCTCTGGTCAGAAAGGCAGGTGTTAACCCATCTGTGGATTCTCCAATCGACGTGCTGGAGAAAGGGAGGATTCTGCTAAGTGTCCCTTTCTGTGTCTTTTGAGGGTATGGAATTAAGATGATGAGCTCTGTCAACCTGAAGAGCAGCCAGTATGTGCCCATCCACAGCAAGCAGATCCGGGGCCTGTCCTTCAGCAACCGGGCAGATGGCTTGCTCTTATCTGCTTCTTTGGACCATACACTCAGGCTTACAAGGTGAGTACCTTGCACTACAAAGTAAGGGCCTGCATTTAGGGAAGAAAAACCAAATGCCCAGGTAGAGGATAGGCCCGTATCTAGGCGTCCAGGTGGATCACAGCTTAGGTATGAGCCAGCTGTGTGCTGCAGCTGCCAAAAGAGCCAATGCAGGCCTAGGTGGCATCAAAGGAGGGATAGTTTTAAGATTGTGTGAAGTGATAGGACCGCTTTATACTGCACCAGTGGGGCCACTCTTGGGATGCTGTGGCCAGTTTTGGTTACCACGATACAAGAAAAGATGTTGACACTGTAGGAAGTGCAGAGAAGAGCAACAAAGATGATAAAGGTTGCGGAGGCCAGATTGTCTGATGAACTAGGTATGCTTAGCTTAACGAAGAGAAGGCTTCAATAAGGGGAGACCTGATTGCTGCCTTAATAGCTGAAGGCTATCGCGGGGGAAGAGGGAGTCAATTTATTCTCCATGGCATCTGAGGGCAGGAAAAGAAGCAGCGGGTAGAAGCTCATCAGAGGGAGATCCAACCTGGAAATGAGGAGGAATTTGCTGCCAGTGAGGACAATGAATCAGTGGAACAGCTTGCCTCCTGGAGTTGTGGTGCTCCTTCGATGGAGGTTTTCAAAAAAAAAAAAAAAAAGGCAGCCATTTCTCCGGGATAGTAAAAAGACTCCTACCTTGGGCAGAGGATTAGATATAAGACCTTCAGAATCCCTTCCAGCCCCCTAATGAAGAGGCCTTTCCCTGGATGGCTCAGGGAACTGGCCTATGGTCTTTTCTGGGGAATGGTTTCCTGCCTGGATGGTAGATGTTATTGGGGTTGAGTAGTAGTGGGCCAAGGGAAGAGGCACAGAGTAGGAACGGGGTGCAGATCCTGAGAGGCTCTTCTCTCCTTTTCTCTCAGCTTAGCCACAAACACTGTTGTACAGACCTATAATGCTAGTCGCCCCATCTGGTGCTGCTGCTGGTGTCTCGATGACACCAACTACGTCTATGCTGGGCTGGCTAATGGATCTATCTTGGTCTATGATCTGCGGGACACAAACTCCTACGTCCAGGAACTGGTTTCACAGAAGTCCAGGTATGGCTTTCATAAGATAACGTTGCTTTCCAAACACTAACTGAGACCATGGAAGACTGTAAAATATCTCCATACTAAGTTCATTTCTAAGGCTGCGGTATTATTTGAAAAATCCTTCATGCTGCAGGCTAGGAACATAAGCTTCTTGACAAAGAATTGCTTAAAAGACTTGGATACAGAATATAAATGCCTTACTGTGAGCCAGAAAAATCTCCAAACTGGTGAGAGCAAAGGAGGTGGGGGGAGGGGGGGTCAGACTGCCTAATGTCGGAAGTAATCTTGTCGTAGAGGCATTTCCACTCCTTAAGTCGCTGCAGATACTAGCAGTCTCCTGGTGGGGAATTGGAAAGAATGCAGTGGGGGTAAAGTTGGCGAGGACATTTATCTTGCTTGTAGTAGTTCTGCATTAATGCGTCTTGTGGCGGTTCTGAGCAGTTGTGAGTGATGTGAATCAAGTTACCCTTCTTATCTCTACAATGTTTAGTGATGCTTAATCTGAAGTAAGCAGGGGATTTCAGTCTTAGCAACGCTTGCAATAAAGTCGGATGGTTTCTAATTTTCAACCCTCTCTGAAATCCTTCTTTAAACATTCTTATGAATATTTTCATTTTAGGACGAGAACCAGAGATAACGACCTAGTGATCCTGATTTTGCTGCTCTCTTTGACCCCATCAGGTGTCCTGTGGTGTCTTTATCTTACCTTCCTCGAATGGCTTCGGCCTCACTGCCATATGGTGGACTGGTGTCTGGAACGCTGGAAGGAGCCTGTTTTTGGGAGCAGAAGTCCAGCAATTCCTATCGACCTCACGATCTTCCCCTTGAACCCGGAGGTTGCATTGACCTTCAGACAGAGGCCAGCACACGGCACTGCCTTGCCACATTCAGGCCCAGTAAGTTGGCATCCATGGAGCCAGTAAATTGTCATCTAATATTTTCCTTTTCTCTCCGTGGCCATTGCTTCCACCTCAGGCACAGTCACAATCCCCACCTTTTCCAACATAGCATCTTTCACAGTCCCAGAATCCCCTGTCAACATGTCTTTCTCACTGCCTGGAAATGCTAAGCACATGGAGCTTTGTGCGAAATCTGACTTCTCTTTTGCCCCAGTTTGGAATGCTGCCTTACAAACAAACTTACAGAGATTGTTACTAACTCCACTCGTGTAGTAGGTATTAAACCTTACCTTGGCATTCAGAACAGAGTAAAACAATGTTCTCAATGTGCATGACAAGCAGCATCTTAAGGAAATCTATCAAACAGGAACCTCATTGAAATGCTTCTGCGGTGTTGCATGTTAATACTTTGTGACTTCGTAACTTTTTTTTTTCAATTTCTCCCTTTCACAGACAGAAACAACAACTGTTTGCAGTGTGTGGTGATGGAGCTGACATCTACTCAGCTGACAGACCGAGATGATGAAATTGTGTGTTCGTGCAACCCCATTCAAACTCTTACTGCAGGTCCAACGTGCAAACTCTTAACCAAAAATGCCATTTTTCAAAGTCCCGAAGATGACGGCAGCATCCTTGTGTGCGCAGGGGACGAAGCATCAAACTCTGCCATGGTATTGCCTTATAACAACTTTGCCTTTTGTCGGTAGCATTAGGTATTGATGGTTTTTCTTCTTCCAGAACTGTTAAGTCACAAAAATGGAGTGATAGAGTGAGGGTGCAGGTGTGTCACAATTGCCACAGTATACATTCATGCCACACTCAGAGGGGCTGTCCTCTGTATTTATTTCCCTAGGGATAGGAGACTGGGAGGAAAATGATGAACTCAGCTATGAGGCACACAGAGCCATGCGCTACTCTTTTATTATTAGAGGTGAGAAGGGAGGGAAGCTAGTCCCTATTTTTTTTATTCTATTTTCTTTATAGCTCTAGTCGGAAATCTTCTAAAACCCATTTATCAGGAGGTCAGGAAAGGAGGGTAGCTTTATTAGGAAGTGTCAATTCCTGTAAAACATTGTAGTTTGCAGAACCATACCTTGCCCAGTGAGATATGTGGTGAATTATGGCCTTTCTCTCTTCGTCCTGAAGCTCTGGGATGCAGGAAGTGGAACTCTGCTTCAGAAACTGCCAGCTGACCTCCCTGTGTTGGATGTCTGTCCTTTTGAGGTGAATCGCAACAACTTTCTTGCTACTTTGACCGAGAAGATGGTAAAAATCTACAAGTGGCAGTGACTTGTCTCCCTTGCCTTCCACGCCTGATCCCTGAGCAGATGCTTTGCTGATAATTGGATGTTGACTGTCTTGAAGATAGGATTATTCCTGAACCATCTTAGATGTGTACCTCAGAGTAATTTATTGGCTCCATCTCGGCTCACCCTACATCCCTATTTCCCCCAATTTATTATTTTTTCAATGAAGACTGTTATTTCAGTCATGCAACAAATCTTGTTATGGGTCTTGTCTTCTGGTTGCATTATTCTGGGAGGAAGTGAAGAAGAAACTTGCCTGCCATTTTCTGGACAAAGTTTCCAGAAATTAATCATTGGTGCTTGCTAAGACTATCTTAATTAGCCCTGCTCCACACTGACCTAAAACTTCATAATGTGGGTACTAGTAGATCACTAGCCTACCATGTACAAAGCAAAAAGCAGTTTGTCTCTGTCTCTCTCGATCTACTTAAATTCACTTTTCTGTAATGAGCAAAATGTTTTCTGATCATGAGGGAAGACGGGGAAAAGCGTTACTGCAAGTTCTGCCTGAAATTGGCTGCTGACATGCATTTTGAATGCAGTTTGGGGAGGGAGATGTAATGACTTAATGTACAAGCCTAACTGTTTGGACTGAAATTGTGACTTAGGAGACTTCCGGCCGATCTCCCAAAGCCAGACAGTTGCAAAATTGAAACATGAAGCCACTTCAGAACTTGATTAAGTCTGTTTGCAGGGGAAAAGGTTTTGCTTGGCTTTTCTTAAGTACAACGGTGGTCTGTTTTCTGGTCTGAATTAAAGTAACCTTGTATTTTGATTGCTGGCTTTCACAGAGTGTATATACTGCAAGACTCATCTGAAAACCTTTTTTTTATCTGAAAGCTGTAGAAATTGAAGCTTTTTGCTCTGCCTATACTGTGCATGGCAGTACAAACCTCAGAACAACTTTCTTAAACTGAAATACTGTGACTTGTAAGTATGTCTAATTTTCCTGTTATGTAATTTTTTTTAAACTCGCAATTGTGAAACAAACTTTAAAATCAGTGGTTTTCTCCAGTGGGCAAAACACTTTGCTGTTAGGCTATTCAAGAGTTTTAAAATTAAGAATAAGTGCCAAGAAAGTGAAGGCGAGTGTGCATCTTAAAAGATCTTAAGGAAATGACACATTTTGTACCTGATGTCAGACAGGAATGCTTCCATGTGGTATATTAATGTATATGGGTTTTGGGAATATTTCCTTAACTTTTTGTTGACAACTACAATAGCAAGGTGCAATTTGTAAGGTAAGTCTTTGCACCAGTGAATGTTTATACTTTATCTAAGGTGAAAAATATAGTTAATTTTTTTAATGAAAAGTCTTGGAATAAGCTTACCTTGTGGGAATCTCTAGAATATAGAAACAGCAGTTCTGCTTTTAACCATGAGCAAGTCACTTTATATTAAAGTACATAATCACTATAATGTAAACACAGGTAAATTTGTGACATAACACCAGAATTGCAATTGCTTTAAAAATACAACTTTCTGTATAATAAAGATACTTCTTTATCAAGCATTTATAAGGAATTTGAGTATCCTGTCTATGCAATAGATAACATCTAGCGCACATCTTCAATTTCAACATTTGAAGCACCTGTTATTTGTAAAAGGGTTATATGTGGTGAAATTTAGGCTAAGGTTCTATTAGAGATACCGCCTATCATAACAGTGCGGAGGTAAATGTAACTGATGGCACTGATGTGTTAGTCTTTCAATAGACAGGTAATCCTTGACTTACAACAGTTCATTTAGTGACTGAAGTTACAACAGCATTGAAAAAAGTGACTGTTTTTCACACTTATGACAGTTGCAGCATCCCCATGGTCACATGATTAAAATTCAGATGCTTGACAACTGACTCATACTTATGATGGTTTTAACCAACTGTGTTCCTAACTTAACAACTGCAGTGATTCACTTAAACTACTGTGGCAAGAGAAGTCATAAAATGGGACAAAATTCACTTTAACAAATGTAAGGACTTCCCCTACTTCTCTTAGATGATATGTTTTTTGACAATTGAGAAAAGAAGCTGTTAAAAACCATTTGACAATTGCAGGATTGTAAACCTCATTCGGTGCTTGGATTATTGCAGCATATATAGCCTATTTACATAATAGAGTTAAGATGGCATTAATACCAGCTCAAAATTGTTGGAGGATACAATATTCTGCCTTTGAACACTTGCCCAATTTTTATATTATGTGCTTATGTTTCATGCGTCATAGTTGACAAGAAGATTTTACAATTCTCTCCCTAGTCAGTGTAAATTGGCATCCTTGCCACTGAGGCACTGCAGGGAACAAAATGTACACCCCTCGGAGTCACCTTCTTTGAGATTTCTGTGTCTTTAAAAAAAAGTCTTACTCCTCCCATGGTAATGGTGGCTACGGAAATCACACAGGAAATTACACATTACTAACTTTGGAGGAAGAACTATGTTTACCTTACTACTGTTTTTGATTAATACACCTCTCGAGGAACAATGTGCTTGCATTGCATCATAATTTGAGAATAATTGTTTGAGAGTGTTTGCATTGTAGCCAGTTGTTTTTGGCAGTGCAGTGTTGAGAGAGTGTGTGCTTTTATATTTTAAATATTTGTATACCGGTGGCTTTTAAATTGGAGTGTTTGCTTTAGAATTTGAACAGTTTGGGTGTGTGCTGCCGTAGCCTTTGGTAATAATGAGCCATTTCTCTTTGCACTGAAATCTGCTTATTGTTTATTTCTTTGAGGCTTGTTTGCAGGATAGGCTGGAGTTGGAATGTGATTTGGGGAGGTTGTGTGACTGTAGTGTCTTATACAGGTAGTGATTGCTCTTAACAATGGTTCACTTAGTGACTACTCAAAGTTACAACTTCACTGAAA